ATATATATATATATATATATATAGTACGTGTACTCTTGTTAGTTATTTATATTAAAACAGCTTATTCAAAAAGGGAGGAGCCGCGGTGGGCAGACTAGGAAGGAACAGCTGGGTACTGAAGGCTATCAGGAAATGGGGCGCAAGGGTGGCCTTAGCACTGGGGACAAGCCCGGTGGCCAACGAGCTGAGGAAGAAGGGATCGAGATTGACGAGTCAAAGTTCCGGACGACTTAGAAAAACATTATGTGTTGTTCTGCTCAGGCACGCTGCATATATATGTATGTATGTTCGTTTGTATGTATCCATCGATTAACTTGTTGGCTAGCTTTTCCAATAAAAGAGCTGTGAGCTGAGACCACAGCCTCAGGCCTGTACATTATTATGGTTTGTTTAGCTGTCTCTTTAATTTGTCAGTATATGTTTAGTTCGTGTGCTTTGCTCACTTTTTTTCAAGGATTCCCAGTTTTAGTTTAAGCTTTGTGTTCGTGTGTGGTGATCTTCGTGTTGGGCGTAATGCTCACTTCACACATATGTCGGCCTGAAAAATTTCACTCAGCCCATTAACGTAATATGGAAATTTAAATGAGATGTGCTGAATTAGCCAAGCAAATTAAATTCGCATAATATGTTGCATATCTAGACTATGAAGTTGTATTAGGTTCAGTCGAGTTTAGTGTTATCCAATTTGACAAGTATATGCTTCGCCCACCAGCTCTGTCTTGTGTTTATTATTTTGCAATGCGATGTTACATCAGTATTAATTAATCTATATTTATATATATGTTTACTCTAAGTTGCGGCAAAAAATTTGAAAATTTTATAAATATATTCATTAATTTGTGTATATTAAACATTTTTGAAAATTTTATAACATATGCAGTATTTTGCGTGTATATATATATATATTTTTAAATCAGATATGATTCTTTGTTTAAATAATTTTATTCATTTGAAATAATTATATTGATATATTCATTATAAACGATTTTTATGTTAGTATTTTGGTGAACATAATATGAAATAAATTGTAATTATTAAATATATTTTAAATTTTTTTCAAATATATTGACTTTGATCTTAAAATATTTATAAACAATAGTAATTTTCTCTTTTCAACTAATTAGAAGACATCAAGTTGTGAATTAATATATGTTAGGTAATTATCTTTCCAATTAATTAGGTGATTTTTTATTTATTTATTTTATTTTTTTTCGGAAAGAGAACTAGTTAGGCGATAGGGAAAATTTTAGAAGACATCAAGTTGTGAATTAATGTTTGTTAGGTAATTCTCTTTCCAATTAATTAGGTGATTTTTTTTTTATTCTTTTCGGAGAGAACTAATTAAGTGATAGGAAAAATTGCACTATTTCGTTCACTAATTATACGTTCACTAATTATACAGTTGCACTTTCGTCATTTGATTTTGTATGGTTTACAATTAGTACATTAACTCCTTTTTTTGGGTAATTTTAGTCCGAAATGACATTGATGTGTTCATTTTTGTCGGAATAGCTGATGTGGAAGTTAATCGGATCAAAATTTCTATTCTCGGCGTGATGTGGCACGACGTGGGCCCAACTATTTTTACACATGGAACAAAATAAATAAAAATTGCACTATTCGTCCACTAATTTTCATTCATTGAACTTTCGTCCTTTAATTGTTTCCAGTTTACAAAATCAGAATAAAAAAACTTAATAAAATCAAAAGAAAAAGAAAAAGTTTTAAATTCCACGTGTATGTAGATAAAAAAATAAAAATAAAAAGTATTAATTAATAAGAAATCATTTTAAACAAAATAAAATAATTACTATTTTTTATTTAATAAAAATATTTTTTTTATTTAATTAAAAATGAAATACTTAATAAAAACGAAATAAAAATATTTAATGAGAAATAAATATTTTTATTTAATGAGAAATAAATATTTTTATTTAATGATTAGACATTTAATAAAAAACGAAATAATTATTATTTTTTATTTAATAAAAAATCATTTCTTATTTAATAAAAAACGAAATATTTAATGAGTAATAAATATTTTTTATTGGTTAAATATTTAATAACAAAAATAAATATTTATCCTTTTTTGTTTGATGAAAAATTAAATAAAATGATGATTAAATAAAAAAGAAATATTTAATAAAAAAGTAATATATAACGAAATAAATATTTCATGAGTAATAAATATTTTCTATTTAATGGTTAAATATTAAATAAAAAATAAATATTTAATAAAAATTATTTTTCGTTTTTTTTATTAAATGAATCTTTGTTTATTAAATACTTAATCATTAAATAAAAAGTACTTATCAGTCATTATAAATTTATTTCGTTTTTATTAAATATTTTGTTTTTATTTAAACATTAGTTATTTTATTTTTTATTAAATTAAAAAATAATTTATTAAATAAAATTATATTTTTTTTCTTTTTCTTTAGATTTTTTACTTTTTTTTTCTTGTGATTTTGTAAACCAAAAACAATTAAAGGACGAAAGTGCAACGAATGTAAAGTTAGTGGATGAATAGTGCAAATTTTTCTTATTTTGTTCCATGTGTAAAAAGAGTTGGGCCCAATTCATGCCACATCATGCCGAGAATGGAAATTCCGATCTGACTGGGCGCCACATCAGCTATTCCGGCGAAAATGAGCACCGGAATGTTCTTTTGGACTAAAATTACAAAAAAAAAAAAAAGTTAGTGTACCAATTGTAAACCGAAAATAATTGAATGACGAAAGTGCAACGAGGATATAGGTAGTGGACGAATAGTGCAATTTTTCCTTAGGCGATATTAAGTTGTGAATTAATACTTGTTATGCTATCAATTCTTTCCTAATATATGAAAGAATGCTCTCACCTATCTCTAGCTTTCTCTCTCTAAGTCTTAACTTATCCATTTTCTCCCCCTACTCCTCCTCCTCCTCATCCATCCATCCCTTTTCCCCAGCGGCCTCACCTCCGCCTAGCCGTCCTCGCCCGCCGCTATCGCCGGCGGTCTCTCCTAGCCTTCGTGCCCGCCTCTCCCCTACTCCATCTATGGCTCCTCCCCCTCTGCCATTGTCCCCATGCTCATCTCCGTCACCCTCTCTCCCCCTCGCCTAAAAGTTCTGGCCATCCTTCTGCCGGAGCTGCATAACATATTCTCACAGCCATATTCCAGCAAGCCATACTCAACTTTTTTATTGGCAGATCCAAAACCTGAGATTTTGAAGAAGGAGAAATCCTCTCCCCTCCCCCCCTGTGGCTGAGCATCCGAGAGCCCCGTCATCGGCCACCTATCTCAACCTCAGCCGGACTTTCCAACCGCCAACAAGGCATCGACCAAGATCTCACCCTGTCAATCGTCTATGGGCTACTCCGACAACTCATTCTCAACAGGCCCATGTGTTCTTGACAAATTTATTTGCTGCCCGGTTGTTTTTGGTCCCTGCCATCGGCAAAGTGCTCGGAGATCCTCTCGTCTGTCAACGTTATTTCCATGACCTATCCCCATTACCCTAGTGGCGGCGCTCCAGGAAACCTAGCCCTTAGCTACAATTTGATGTGGCTCCACTCACAGCGCGACGTGAGGATGATGCTTACCTAATTCGCGACACATTTTTCAAATTTGGGCCCCATATTGTAGTATCTATCTAGACAACCACCCTGACCAGATTTCTTGCAGCCGCCTCCACCGACACTGCTCCGCCCTTGGTCGGCGTCCTTAGCGCTGGCGCCGGCAGATCCCCCTGTTTGGTTCTGTTAGGAACGTCAAACAACATGCACAACATTGAACTTTATCGAAATAAATCCTAACGCAGCGGAATCTATAGTTAGGATATGGACGTTTACCTTTTAAAATTTT